TGGATTTGCACAGCCCTCACAACCCAACTGGCAAAGTTTTCTCCAAGGAAGAGCTTGAAGTTATTGCTGAAGCCTGCTGCAGATGGGATTGCCTTGCTATAACAGATGAAGTATGAGAATATTTTTGTTAATATTTGGGAAAAGTGAAACATGTATATGGTTGAATATGTCACTTGTTTAGAACATGCATGACACATGTTTCTATAATGTCTCACTGAACAGTTCTAATGTGTGGAGAGCTTTGTCCCAATGTAGACTATATAAGCTGGGTAAAACTATAAGTTTTTTTAAGTTGTTTATTTATTTTTTCCCTGAAGGTAGTATTTGAATTTAAAACATGAGGTTATGCATAGGTGTCATTCTGTTTTTGTTTTGTTTTTCTTTTTCTTTGGCCAGGTAGGTTGCATTCTTGTTGATTACTGGATATTAGGCAACACTTCATATTGTCATTTTTTACGAGGCTTGAACTGAGCAGAGTGCTGATGAAGTACCTAGAAGGACAGTACGCATAAAGAGAGGAAATTAAAACCATTGCTTATAGATATATATGGATAGAATTGTAAATATTAGAAGTTCATCTTATAATACACTTGACATCATGCAGCTATTTGTCAAATTCCCTAACTGAAATAAACATTCTAAGTGGTTAATTGTCATGTAATTTTTATTAGTTTTTCCTTAAGCAAAGTGCAATTATTATCTGTAATCTGTCGTGGTAGTTCTGTCTAAAAGAAAGAAAATGTTGACCTATTTCATTGATGTCTGAGGATTGCTTTGTCTTCATACTTGTTTCTCCAGGTATATGAGCACATAACATTTGATGACAAGAAACATATATCTCTTGCCTCACTCCCAGGAATGCAAAAGAGAACTATCATCACATCCTCCTTGTCTAAAACTTTAAGTGTTACAGGTCAAATAAAAAGCATCGTATCTACAGAATTTAGGTCTGAATTTGTTTGTGGTGATGGCTCTTTTTTTTTTTCTTAATACGTTTTTCAGGTAGATGTCCCACACTCATTGTCCTCTGTCCACTGTATTGTGGCATAATTTCCAGTCTCCCTCAATAACTGGTTCTTAATTATTACGTCTAGTTTTGATATAGAAACAGAGTGATACTCACTGTTATGAGTATTAGGTTGGAGAATTGGATGGGCTATTGCTCCAGCTTTTGCTGCATCTGCAATCCGAAACATTCATGTCAAAATTACAGATTCTGCTCCAGCAGCTTTCCAAGAAGCTGCGTTAACTGCTTTGACAAGCCCCCCTGAATATTTTGAAGGACTGAAAAAAGTAGGTTCCTTGGACAGAGCCATGTTTTAGTCTTTTACTTGTCACTGTGGAGTGGATGACCATAGCTTACTTACTGTTATAACACAAACCAAAATGCAAGATCATGCTAATGCTCCCACTGTCACCTTTTTGCATATTTATTTTCTATTGATGAGCAGGAATATGAATCTAAAAGGGATTTCATTGTGAAGGTGCTCACCACGGTGGGTTTTCAAATTCATTTTAAGCCCCAAGGTTCCATCTTTTTATTTGCAGAGCTTCCTAAGAATTGCTTGCTTTCTGATGTAGGTAGATGTACTTTTTTTTTTACTTTGGAGCTCCATTCATTCTAAGAATTGATCATATATTAATTTGACTTTTATAATGCCAGAATTCTGCTAATAGTTTGTTTATGCGGTATAAATGGTGATTCTGTTCTTTCCAGGTAGAATATGTTAAGGAATTAATAAAAGAGGCAGGGGTGGTTGCTGTACCAGGATGTGGATTTTTTCATGCAAAGCTTTCTATGGAGCCATCATCTGAGGCAAGTTGCAACGACCCGCAGAGATATGTAAGGTTTGCCTTCTGCAAAAGTATTGCTACTTTGGCGGCCGCTGCACAAAAGTTTAGTGATCTTAAGAACGCTACCAGGTATGAACAACCTTAACATGAGAGGTGGGTTAAGGGATGAGAGAGAGTTATCTCTTATTGTACAATCTAGATAAAAAAAAAAAAAGAAAATGATATACTTAAATGTCACACGATATTGTAAATTTATACCATATGTGTTCTTATATAATCAAATTTTTTTATTCATGAGTCTACACATAATATTTTATGAATCTACTCGTTAAATGTTACGTTATATTTATTTAATGTTATATAGGATTGTAATGTGATGTAGGTTTGTAAGTTTACAATCTTACATAATATTATAACTATATTATTACTGTTATATGATTGACTTTTTTCACTGAATTAGACATAGAATTATATGCATCAAGTTCTTTAATATCAAATTAGAATTATATGCATCAAGTTCCTTAATATCAAATCATTATGTTTTATTTCGTATCTTGATCTATCAAAGATAAAACTCATGGCTAATATAAGTAATTCAATTTCCAATGATATCATCTACTTTGATTTGTTGGAGAAAATAAGATCACCTGATTGAAATTAATTTGGATTTGTTCCTTAAAGTAGGATTTAATTAATCAATAAAATTCAGTGCTAGTGATAACCAAACTGAAATCAATTTGGATTTGTTTCTCCTTTTTTTTTTCTCTAATTTTTCCCATCCTCCACATTTACCTTTCTTAAAAAAATCAGAAAAATTATTTCACATTTCCCTTTGTTTTTTTTTTTTTAAAAAAAAATCAGATAATATATTAAGGGTGAGCCTTAGATATTGGTGCTGTTTAAAAAAATCATTCGATTGAATGATGCCTTTGTTTGTATTAAGGGTGAGCATTAGATAATGGTACTGTTTCTTGCGAGTGTATTACTTGTTTGGATAAGTATCATACCCGAACTATAAAAAAAATTAAGTAATGTGTATGAAAACTATATATCCATAAGTATCAAGTTAAGTAACAAATATAAAAGTTTAGAATTGTTTATGAAACTTGTTTAACTGATTTGTTACTATAATTATATAATTGAAATTTTACTTATATTTATATACTTTATATGTATAT